GCGCTAATAATATCCCTTCAAATTTTTCCAAAATAGTGTTATTTCCCTGCAAATGTATATGCTGAACTCAAATCAACAATTAGATATTGAAGAAACCTACCTTTTTGGATGTTAACGACCCGAAAAAATCGGACTTTTCCCTGGTCTTTCGTCAGCCATTACCGGCTTATTGATAAGTAATTTAGTGCTGGATTTTGTTGGTGGACGTATACAATTTGGGCCTATTTACTTCCTTCACAGTAATTCCTTGTAGTTAACTTTCAAATTAGGGTTAGGTGTTTTGTTTTTTTTTTTTTTTGTTATGCTTTTATTTTTTCTATTTTTTTTAAAGAAGAAAGTTAACTTTCCAATTAGGGTTAGGTGTTTTTTTTTCTTTTGTTATTCTTTTATTTGTTGATGTTTACATATATTTGAAAGTTAACTTTCTTTAAGTACAAAAGAAAATCGCTTTACGGAAGCGCGTACTAATTTCTGAAAGAAAACAGTTCAGCAGTGAATAACGCTCGGGTGTTAAAATGAAAATTTACCAATATGTTTCGGATTTAAATAATCCACAAAGGGTTGATAAGCCGTAAAAAAAATCTCTGTCAAACTCTGACAATGCAACTTTGATTGCTCAACTTTTTTTGAAAACAATTTTTACGAGTGTCAATGTGTCTTCACGAAATATAAGACGAAAACAATACAATCAAAATAATTCAATGTTTACTTCAGATTCATTGCTGATATTTACTGGTATTTGGGATTAACGTTTCATATAAAATACATTTCAAAGATGCAAATAGTCATATTAAACAAACTATTGCATTAACTTAGCAGTTAATCGATATCCAATAAGAAAAGGAATTAAAAATCAATAAATTTTTTATTCTCACGAGATTTTTTCTTGTATTGCAGAATTTCTGTAAAAATAACAAATCTCATTTTTAGAAGGTAAAATGGTCCAATTCCTTGCAGTCTGAGAGGAATTGGCGTTTGCAAAATCAACTTTTGTTTTCCTGCCACCGATTTAAAAAAAAAAATTGACCTTACTTATTCTCTGCCTCTGCATTTCCAATTCGTTTTCTTTCCACATATTGAAGGAACAGATTCGCTTATGGAGTGCAGCTAAAATTAATTCTTACAGCGTTTACAGACAAAAGCAGAATCATTAAATTGATCAGTGGAGACGCTGTACAGTGACTAGCGAATCGTCTCGTAAAAATGATGGAACGCCGATGCTTGCAATACTTTTTGCAAACACCGTGGAATTCCTGCCATGTCTGTTTGAGCAAAAGAAGTAGATTTTAAAAGCAAGTTACCATAGAAACATTATTATAATACGCTAAACGCGCCTCCTGTTGGTTGAATGGAAAATAGGAATATGGTACATCGATTGAAAACCATAATAGACGTCGATTTCAGGGAGATAAATTATTTGCATCGTGCGCAGTTAAAGTCAAATAATAATATATATATATATATATATATATATATATATATATATATATATATATATATATATATGCGTTTAGGTAGGAGTCTTCCATTGATACAGGTTTGATTATTTTTCTTGACGTACCAGAGACCGTATTTTTAAGTTCAGTAAGTTTAGATATTGTCCAAATTCTTGCGACAGGACGGTTTCCTATTTTGGGACACTTTCAAATTCCGAAGTTATGTAAACCGATCGTTTTACACACATTCAAATATTTTGAAAGCTTAGCGTCGACCAGTAGACCTTATAGTGATTACAACCGGGGTACTTTGAAATTAATACTCCAGAGGTGGGGGGGGGGAAGATTTCTGCAGGCAACACTTCTCCTTCTGGGGTGATTTGGGGGTCATGATCGGGCGCATGTGACGTCCCTAAAAGGGGAAGTACCATTTAGGGCTTGAGCAATTTTTGAACGGCTTCCCACATTAAAAACTCGACCTTGTGTCATATTTTGTAACGACATGGACGTGTAGATAAATACCTAAAAAAAGGTACGTTGAATTATTGAAGGGGTCGTCAAACATTTTCGATCAGATACGATCTTTTGTTTTTCTTTCATCATCAGCGACACCCATTTAAAATATCTTTGAATCACTGATGTTGGCAATTAAAACGTTAACTAAAATATATGAAAAGTTACAAAATTTTGATCAGGTTCAAAATTTTCCCGCCAGTGTCATCAGAATTCAGAATTTTCTGCAAAAAATATATTAAATAACCCCAATAAACCAAGCAAATAATATATGAAGTACACCAAGCCAAAATACGGCCGATGCTATCGAACAGAAATGCATAGCCGATACTATTATACAACTGCACTAACTAATTAAAGGAAACAAATATTGCATCCTACTTGATGCAATCATACCAATCAGGCCAAATGAGCTTCATAATCATCAATTCTATTTTACAGTTAGGGGTTGAACAAAGGAGATTGTTACCTGAAAATCAACTTGGAACAATTAAAAAAGAGCAAGCAATGCTCTTAAATAAGTCTAATCTAAATAAGTTAAAAGCTACTTGAACAGATGAAAATAAGGCTTTTGATTCTGTCGATCGTTGAGCTCAATGCCTTTCATCCACTTGCACAAAAGAATACAACATACATGGACACTGAGTAAAATTTGAATTAGTGTCATTCGAACGCTGACCCCAATTTGAACCGTTGACTATCATCAACCCCCTGGAACTCTACACCGACACCTAGGAGGTCGCTCGCATCCCATCTGATGACCCCTGAATTAGCGAGAATTGAAAGTCCAATGAAGCTGATAAGAATATCAAACTTGTGAAATCCCTGATGGAAAAACTATAGACATTTAGGAAATTGATTTTCAATCCAAAACAGAGAAAGGAACAGTTTACCCAAGCTGTCTGGAAATTCAAACTAGGATTATTTAATTTAATTTAAATTAAATCTTCTACCATAACGTTTCGGTCAATATCTTCTTCAGCCTTCCTCAAAGATATGTTGCATCCAGACATTTGTTTGTGTGGTTTAGTATATTCTCGGTACTGGTTTTAATATAATATTTCAGTCTACAATTATTTTCATAAAAGTTTCTTTTTTCTTTTTTTAACAAGATGATGCGTTCGATTTTCACACTTTTCAGTGTGGTATCCCGATTTTACAAAGGTGGATCTGCTCTCTTCTCTCCCTAGATGTGATTTACCCTGACTGAGTATAGAGTTTCCTCCTTCGGATCATAGCTTTTCAGTGTCCTTCAAGTCAAATGATGACTAGTAACTTGCTAGTATTCTTAAGTGCAATTAATGCATCCTTTGGCCATGTTTGTTTTATTGGTATGATTTTAGTTTAGCTTTAATATTTCTAATATGAAAATTAACATTTGGTTTTGTGTAGAAGTGTTATGGGACCTTCCCCATAATAACATAATGGAGTATTCCATACGTAATAAATATTGTGCCTCAAGAGGAAGCAGGGGCTTCTGTCTGAAGTCGGGCGACCTCCTTTCGGGGAGGTCAACCGACCCTGAACCCGTTTATACGGGTTCAAAGGGCATATTTTTGGCCGAGCCGACGGGCTTGGAGATCCCACGTTAAATCGGCCTTGTGCCACATGATGCCCTCGTGGGGGGCGACTAAATACTGTTCAGTCTGAAGTCTGGAGTGAAGTCCGTCAGTCAGTCAGTCAAGTCAGAGGCAGTCCTAAACATAGTCGCGTTCAGACAATTACTACTAAACCTGATTGTTCGTACTAACACTTTCTTCTCTGTATATATTCCTGTTTGTAATATATCTGTGTTATTCAATATCTGTGTTCGAGATCTTCTTTATTGGTTCTACCTTGGACTATCACCGTGGTACAAGGAACCGGGCCATAACAAGAAGTAAGCCAGGATTGGAGAATATTATTATAAAAGAGGATGGGTGAACAGACAGTTAACGATTGGTTTCGTTCAGGCTGTATGCTTTATTTTTGAGGCTCACGTGACAGATAGCAACCATTTAGAGTACGAAAAAACGTTTTTTTTTCTTAGTATCAAAATTTAAATGCATATTTCTGATTTTATCGATATTTAATGTCGAGTGTTTAATGTCTGATATTTTCTTTTCTTTTACAGAAGATCGAAAAATGTAAATGACTTATATATAAAATATAAATATACTATTACTTAGTATACAATATTAATATAAAATATAAATATGCTATTTACACTATATTGCCCTGATCATTGTTGTTATATTGACGAAATTTCGGCCGTTGTACGCTCCGACCTTCTTCAGGTGATTGGAATTTCGAACTGAACCCTTTATTCCGTTCACCGGGGTAGAGTGTTCTTTTCTCATTCCGACATTTCTCATTTCTTCTTTTCACATTCATTCTTTACGCATTACGACTTTACTCATTCCAATGTTCTTATTGCCTCTTTTCTCATTCCTGCTTTTCTCATTCCGTCTTTTCTCATTCATTCTTTTCTCATTTCGTCTTTTCTCATTCATTCTTTTCTCATTTCGTCTATTCTCATTGCGTCTTTTCTCATTCCCTCTTTTCTCATTTCTTCTTTACTCATTTCGTCTTTTCTCATTCCTTCTTTTCTCATTGCTTCTTTTCTCATTCCTTCTTTTCTCATTGCTTATTTTCTCATTCCGTATTTTCTCATTCCTTCTTTTCTCATTCCGTCTTTTCTCATTCCGCCTTTTCACATTCATTATTTCTCATTTCGTCCTTTCTCATTCCTTCTTTTCCCATTCCGACTTTTCTCATTCCTTCTTTTCTCATTTCATCTTTTCTCATTCCGTCTTTTCTCATTCACTCTTTTCTGATTCCTTCTTTTCTCATTTCATCTTTTCTCGTTCCGTCTTTTCTCATTCCGAATGAGAAAAGACGGAGTGAATGAGAAAAAAATAAAGGGTAAAGTCGTAATGAGAAAAGACGGAATGAGAAAAAAAGTAATGAGAAAAGAAGGAATTAGACAAGAAGGAATTAGAAAAGAAGGAATCAGAAAAGAGGGAATCAGAAAAGAAGGAATCAAGAAAGAGGGAATCAGAAAAGAAGGAATCAGGAAAGAAAGAATAAGAAAAAAAGAAATGAGAAAAGACGGAATGAGAAAATACGGAATGAGAAAAGAAGGAATGAGAAAAAAAAAGAAATGAGTAAAGTCGTAATGAGAAAGGAAGGAATGAGAAAAGAAGGAATCAGAAAAAAAGGAATCAGAGGAGAGGGAATGAGAAAAGAGTGAATGAGAAAAAAAATAAAGGGTAAAGTCGTAATGAGAAAAGACGGAATGAGAAAAGAAGGAATGAGAAAAGAAGGAATTAGACGAGAAGGAATTAGAAAAGAAGGAATCAGGGAATCAGAAAAGAAGGAATCAGGAAAGAAGGATTGAGAAAAGAAGGAATGAGAAAAGTGGGAATGAGAAAAGACGAAATGATAAAAGAAGGAATGAGAAAAGAAGGAATGAGAAAAGAGGAAATGAGAAAGGAGGGAATGAGAAAAGACGGTATGAGAAAAGAATGAATGAGAAAAGAGTGAATGAGAAAAGAAGGAATGGGAAAAGAAGGAATGAGAAAAGACGGAATGAGAAAAGAAGGAATGAGAAAAGACGGAATGAGAAAAGAAGGAATGGGAAAAGAAGGAACCAGAAAAAAAAGGAATCAGAAAAGAGGGAAAGACAAAAAAAGAAATGAGTAAAGTCGTAATGAGAACAGACGGAATGAGAAAAGAAGGAATGAGAAAGAAAAGAAATGAGTAAAGTCGTAATGTGAAAAGAAGGAATGAAAAAAAAGAAATGAGTAAAGTCGTAATAAGAAAAGAAGGAATGAGAAAAAAAGGAATCAGTAAAGAAGGAATCAGAAAAGAGAATGAGACTTTTGGGATTGTCTTTTTCTCATTTCGTCTTTTATCATTCCGTATTTTCTGAGAAGGAATGAGAAAAAATGAATCGATTTTACGGAATGAAAGAAGGAATTTCTCATTCTCTTTTCTGATTCCTTCTTTCTCATTCAGTCTTTTCTCATTCCTTATTTTCTCATTCCCATTCTTTTCTCATTCCTTCTTTTTCTGATTCGCATTTTTTTGATTCCTTTTCGCATTTTCTTTTCATTCCCTCTTTTCTCATTTTTTCTGATTTTCTCATTCCGTCTCATTTTCTGATTCCTTTTCTCATTCCGTCTTTTCTCATTCCGTCTTTTCTCATTCCTTCTTTTGTAATTACGACTTTACCCTTTTTTTTTTTTTTCTCATTCCCTCTTTTCTGATTCCTATTTTTCTCATTTCGTCTTTTCTCTTTCCTCCCTTTCTTATTACGACTTTACTCATTTCTTTTTTTTCTTATTCCTTTTTTCTGATACCTTTTTTCTCATTCCTTCTTTTCTCATTCCTTCTTTTCTCATTCCTTCTTTTCTCATTCCTTCTTTTCTCATTCTTTCTTTTCTCATTCCTTTTCTGATTACGTCTTTTTTTCTGATTCTTTCTTTTGTCATTCCTTCTTTTCTCATTACGACTTTACTCATTTCTTTCTTTTCTCATTCCCTCTTTTCTGATTCCTTCTTTTCTCATTCCTTCTTTTTTCATTACAAGTTTACTCATTTCCTTGTTTTTTCTCATTCCTTCTTTACCCTTTATTTTTTCTCATTAACTCTTTTCTCATTCCCTCTTTTCTGAATTCTTTTTTTCTGATTCGTTCTTTTCTCATTCCCTTTTTTCTCATTCCTTCTTTTCTCATTCCTTCTTTTCTCATTCCGTCTTTTCTCATTCCGTCTTTTCTCATTACGACTTTACACATTTCTTTTTTTTCTGATTCCTTCTTTTCTGATTCCTTCTTTTCTCATGCCGTCTGTTCTCATTCCGTCTTTTCTCATTCCTTCTTTTCTCATTACGACTTTACTCATTTCTTTCCTTTCTCATTCCCTCTTTTCTCATTCCATCTTTTCTGATTCCTTCTTTTCTGATTCCTTCTTTTCTCATTCCTTTTTTTTTCTCATTCCGTCATTTCTGATTCCTTCTTTTCTGATTCCTTCTTTTCTCATTCCGTCTCTTCTCATTCCGTCATTTCTCATTTTCCTATAACCCTTTCCCTCGATTTGTTTTCTTTTTCTTTGTCTACTTTATCTCTCTTTTTTTATTTACACTTTCTCCGTTCCCTTTCCTTCATTTTTCGTCATCTCTTGTTCTCTTTCCTCGTTTTTTTCTTCGTATCAATCCTCACAATATTTTCGTTCTTTTTCACCTTTAACATCGACATCTTCATATTCCAACTGAAATTTCTCCCTTCTTAATTCAATATCATTGTCAGAACGCTGAGTCAACTGTGGTTGCTAATTTCCTCAACAATTAAGTGAATCCAAAATATTTTTCATAAACAAATTTCATTTCCCCATATTTTCATTTTCTTTTATTTTGTTTATCTTTTTTACAAAAACAAGCTCACCACCCATCTACGCCGTCTGATCAGACATAATACGATAAAGAAGTCATAGAATGGCGCCTGTTTATCCTTACTTTTCTATTCATTCAAATTCGAAGCGAAAAATAAATCACGAAGAATGAAATGAAAAGTTTCGTCATTGAAGTCCGAGATAATAAATACCCTGTCTTTATTTTTATCAATGGCGAAACTGGAATTTTTCTGATATTTCTTCTGACATTGTTTCTGACATTTTTCTGATAATCTTTCTGACAATTTTTTTGACATTTTTTCTGATAATTTTTCTGACAATTTTTTCTGACATTTTTCTGACAATTTTTCTGAAATTTTTCTGACAATCCTTGATCCTAAAAGAATGTTTTTTACTTTCATATCTTATATGAAAGGAATGATGCTTACTTAGATAAGCTTAGCATAGTGCAAGTCCACGGTATTATTAATTTATCTTTGTACATGAAACTTTATTTAAACCTTTTATATGAAACATGATTTATATATATATATATATATATATATATATATATATATATCCATTTACGTCGCACCAATGTTGTCACTAAATTCACTTGCCCACTTGAAAAAAAAATCGTTAATAAATTCAAATAACATATGAATTGGTTACAGTACAACTACGTTATCGTGACGATTGACATTATATTAATCGAATAAAAGAAAACAATATAACATTAACAAAATGTTATCAAATTTAGCAACAGATATGCTAAGTATTTTTCAACACATGAAAACATAAAATATTAAAAAGCCGACATGATGTCTGAAAAGACGATGAAACTCACATAACACACATGCGACTCTTTTATTATGGTATAGAACTCTTTGATTATCGCGTAGAAAAATACGCAGGCATTGGATAAATTATATTTAAATATGTATCTGAAACTAGAAAAATTATCCTTAACAGAAAAAATAAATGAAAAAATCCTTAATTAAACTTTCGTTAGTCTTTAATCAAATATATATATATATATATATATATATATATATATATATATATGTGTGTGTGTGTGTGTGTGTGTGTGTGTGTGTGTGTGTGTGTGTGTGTGTGTGTGTGTGTGTGTGTGTGTGTGTGTGAAAAATTGAACGAGAATCTGACAGCATTGTATATTTATTGTCGTGATATGAGTAAAAATGTATGAGTTCCTTCGTAATTCGAATTGAAACCGGTTTAAAATTAAACGCCTACCATAAGACAACAAATTAAAAAAAATCATACATTCGGATTCACATCACAACAATAAGATAAAATCTGGGATATTTATAGGTTTTATTTAAGAGGCCTTAGAATGTGCAGCCTCCAAAATGGCTACGTGACGAAGAAAATTAATTGAAAATATGTTTAAAATCCTTCGTTAACATAGTTATTTCATATATAATGTCAAAAGGAAAGTGTACAAAATCCACAAAACCAAAAAAGAAAGCATAAACGACAACACAAATTCTATGTTCGTTATTTGACCTATAAACACCAACATTAATCAACTTGAAAGAAATTTCATTAATCATAATAAAAGTATTATCGCCGATTCTTCAAAATAGATAAATATTTGATTAATATAAAACCAGTCAATTAATTTTATATCAGAGTCAGGAGTGTGCCAAATAGAATGTAAACGACATCCTAGAAATATATATATATATATGGCGATGACTGCCACATCTTACTCAAGTGATGGCTCTTAAGATGACAGGAGGTAGACGATGAAAATCAGTGAGAGTCCAGTATAAGATGAGAGAATATCCTGAGTCAATGAGATAAGATGCTGAGACATCTGCACATCATTGGATTCTAGTGGTAAATACTTGGACAATACACGGGCGCCACTCTCTGAGTCTCCAGGATTAATAACCAGTGACAAGAAAAGGCGACATGAGGAGTAATCATATCAACGGCTGGTTTTCATGAGTTTTCTCTCTCATCAGATGTTTCGGCCACACACACACACAACACACACACACACACACACACACACACACACACACACACACACACACACACACACACACACACACACACACACACAACACTTGCAGACAAGTTTGAAACTGGGTCTCTACATTCAATTTCCCCGAATCTTCATATTTATCATGCAATCAATAAATGCACCAATAAATCCATCTTACGACGTGACTATTTCAAGAAATAAACACGCATCAACGAAGACACTGTAAGATAGAGAAAACGCACACTAACAATAAAAACATACGTACATACATATATACCAACCCCCCCACCCCCAAATGAACCTGTGATAGCTAACCAATCAATGAAAAAAAAATAAATAGAATTAAAAAGGATGTAAAAACCACGTTATATTTCATTCCCCAATATTTCTAATAAGGTTAAACAAATATCGAAACAGAGAAAATTTATAAAGGTTTAACTACTTGTTTCTTATTTAATCACGTAATTAATTCCACACACACACACACACACACACACACATATATATATATATATATATATATATATATATGCAGGGAAAAGATCTCTATTAAGATGATATATAGACAGAGAAAGAGAGAGAGAGAAATGAAAGAAAAATGAAGACTGAAATAAACACCTTTGAAGAGAGGGACATAGATTAATTGACATGATATATATATATATATATATATATATATATGTGTGTGTGTGTGAGTGTCTGTCAGTCTGTCTGTGTGAAATGGCGTCAGTGCAAACGATGAAGATATTTAAATTAATGACAAATTAATCGACAAAAAATGGGAATTAATACATAATTGCCCTCCCCTTGACCTTTTATAGCAGCCTTTATTTGTTTCCGACATAGATTTCACTAACTTAATAAAATAACTTTACCGAATAACAGTGAACAGATCGTCTTTGGTTGATTGCTCATTATCTAACTTTTTTTTAAAAAAAATTTACGCCTTCTCTGGTTATATTATTGATTTCATATTTACCCTCTTTGCTTTGTGATAAAAATACATTAACGTCCTGAGAAATGACTTCATCATCACCAAACCATTTTTTTATGGATGAAATGAAAAATTAACCAAAGCACACTACTTTAAGCTTTTTATTGTGACATTTTGATGTCTTTCTTCGTCTACGAATATGTTTTCCTTTTTTTTTTAACCGCGCCGTCACTTTTAAATTTACACCAAAGTTTACACACGGCTGATTGGGCGTAACCAGCGTTTTTCTCTTGTGGGTTGCCTTAGTGGATGAATTTTACGAACCTTTTCATTGTTTCAATTGACAGTTCTTTTGTTATAGCCATGTTTTCTTTCAATTAGGTATGCACAACCCCGTTCGTTGAGGCCTGAAAGGAATCTCTTTTAACCGATTTGCATATCTAAGCTTCTACTGGTATTTGCTTTAAGACAAATTACAAGATCATTCCATCATTTTCTCTTCAACATTCGGTTATATTATAATGATTGAATCTCGTTTGCTTAAAGGTATATTTTATGAAGCCAGATTATTAAATGAAAAACGTTTTTGCGTCTTATTTGCCATTAGCTTATTCAATGCTAAATTAAAGACCTGGATGAACAGAGGCTCTA